GTGCTGGTTCCCCACGGTCCCTTCTCTTGTGTCCCGAGGGGCCCGTGGTCCTTCCCCCGGAGTCTGTCAAGACTCCCCAGCTGTTTCCTCACCGGTATAAGGAGAGCATCCCTTGCTGAATGGCTCTGAGAACTGGCAGGGGTCGGGACCTGGAGGGCTAGGCACAGTGTCTGCCGTGGTGTGTGCCGGTGGCCTGGGAGGGCAGGTGGTGGCCAGCAGGTCGGGGCCTCAGTAGTGCCTCTAAGGAGACTGTCTGGCGACCACTTACACAGGTGGCTGGCCCCTGCGTCCTGCGGAGCCAGGGAGGGGACCCGTGCTGGCCGGGGAGGGCTGGGCAAGGATTTCCACAGGGGCCACGCGAACTCTGCAGGGGACCAGCCTCAGTGGGACTGGATGGTTTTCTTCGGGAGTTTTCTGGGTCATAGGTTGTTTGACAAAGGGTCATCAACTTCTGAATGAGTTTCAGCAGCTTGTGACATTTGATTTATGATTGCAGCTTTCCAAATAAATCCCAACTTCTGGTATGGAATTCACCCGAGGACGCTCAGAGGGCTGGGCCTCTCCTGGTTGACAGGGAGGCAGCTGGGAAAGGACTTGTCCTGCGGCCATGGGCCGGTCACCTTCCACACGGGGCCCACGGCCGTGAGGACCCGGGCCGGGGGCATCAGGAGCAGGCTGGCCTCCGGGGGCCGTGGGTTCCCTTCCCCCCACCCTGTGGTGCGGGCACTGTGTCACCTGTCACAGCAGCATGACTCACAGCTCTGCAGCAGTTTTATTTTTACTCTCCCTGGGCTCACCTCCTCTCTTGCTTTCCTCGCTGGGGGCGCCGGCTTGCGAAAGGGCTGCATTTCAAACCCAGGATCTCATGGGGACCCACAGCTCCTCTAAGACCTTGTTGTTGGGGACTGAGGGCTAGTGCTGAGCTCCAGTCGGCAGTGTTCAGAGATCACCTAACCTTGCTTCGGAGTCTCCCTCCAGCCGCCCATGTCCCAGTGGCCAGGCCAGAGGGTCAGTTCGGGCCGGGTCGCAGGGAAACCAGAAAGATTTGCGCGAGTCCCACTGGATCACAGCTGTGGGAGTGCTGAGGGCACCCCTGGAAAAGCTCCTGGCCTTTCCCCCGGCGATGGTCTGGCTCCTCGTGCAGCCCGGTGGTGGCCGAGAACCTCGGAGAATGTCAGAGCCCCCGGGGGAGTTCGGTCTGGGTGCTGGACTTCACGCTAAGACACGTGAAGAAAATGGTGCCAGGATCACTTGGCTTGTCGGTGACCCTGGGGCACACCAGCAGCCCTTGCGAAGGACCCGGCAGCTACTCCTCTACCTGGTTGAATAGAGTTAGGACCTCCCTCCGCTCGCGGTCAGTCGACGTCAAGATGACCTGTTTTCATAGCAATGCCGTGCTTTGTGATTGCCAAGTTGGCAACATAAAAGCCTTCCTTGAAGAATATTCTCAGACCTTTGTGTTTTAAATATTCGTCTGTACCAGGGAGATCCTGTGCCCGTGCCCGCGCGGCAGGAGGGCTCTAGGGGGCGCTGCGCTCACAGCTGGCCGCCTCCTTGCGGGCACAGCTCCTTCCTGAGGCGCTTAGGTTCCTGACAAGGAGGCATATAAACCGCAGGACCCTTGGGGCCAAATTGCCTTTTCCTTTTACCTGTGACGTCGGAGGTGTCTCTCGGGCGGGGAGCGTGCCCACAGCGTCACACAGCGACATGAACCCCCTGTAAGAATGCAGCAGACTGGTCTCTGTCACCCGTAATCCAGGAACCCCCAGCTCACAACCTCATCTCTGGGCCCAAACCTCGCAAAAAGTAGCACCCCCGCCCCCGCTTCCTGCTTTATTTTCCTCCCAGGCACCTGGCACCATATTTGTTTGCTGGCCTGGAGTCTGGTTCCCCACAGTAGAGTGTCCACTCTGAGAGAACCCCTCCCTGCCCTCCTCCAGGGTCCAGGACAGGCCTGGCCTGTGGTTCCCGCGGCGGCCTCCGACCTCGGCTCACTCAGTGGGTCCCAGCCTCCTGCGCAGACCTGTGGCCAGAGCCCGCAGTCAGATGATGCCAAGACCCAGGACTGAATGGCCCGAGAAGCAGAGCCTCCTCTGCGACTCAGGCCCTTGGGCGCTGGGACGCCCCCACTGAGGGTGTGGACCAGCCTTACCCTGGGCTCCACCCACCTGGGGGCCCAGTCCCTCCCTGGGTTGAGCACACATCACCGCCGACGGCTGAGGGGTGGGTGCTGCCCCGCAGCAGCTCTGACTTCGATGCAGCAGTGGGAGATTTGGGAGGAGAGTCCAGTCTGCGAGCGTTAAATCCAAGAGTTGAGAGGAAAGTCCGAACGCCCACCCCCCTGCCAGGGGCCCGTCCCCCATGCTCCCCCACGTGCTGTGCTCCTGGCCCCCCTGGGCGGCCGGCTCCTGTCGGTGAGACCCACCCGCGCTCAGCGTTCTGGGGAACTTCACAAACTTCATCAACACGATTCTACTGGACTCTGGATTTCTGGATGATGGTGGTGTGTGAGTCAGGTTTGGGTGCATCGGCCTAATCACAGTGTGGCACTCTCTGCCACGTTGTGCTGGGCGCCGGGACAATTAGAGGAGCTCCTGGCCCTGCCCAGAGTCGGTCCAGGGCCTCGTCGGGGGGACAGGACCCAGAGCAGCTGCTGGGCCTGCATTTCCACCTGGAGGGTCTCGGGAGCAGGTGCGAGGCGCTGTGTGCGGTGACTGCAGCCCGGGCACCAAGGTGAGGAGGTGGGCCTGTGGGGTGTCCCGAGGAGCCCCCAGGCACCAGAGGACAGAGTGATCCTGGTTACCAGGTGGGGCTGAGGCTCTGGGCCAACAGCTCCTCCGAGCAGGCTCACTGTGTGTGTCCGGAGTGGCCTTGTTCACAGCTTCTGGCCGCTGCGGGATGCACGCCCTGCCCAGCCCTGGGTCTGCCCGGAGCTCCTCTCAGCTCACTGGCCTCACAAGGTCCAGCAGCTACGTTTGGGGTTCCCGTCCTGCCCGTCTGCCCTGTGAAGCTTCCAGGTGGCCGACTCAGGGTCCTGTCCGCCATCTGGGAATCCGCCGTGTGCCCCCTCCTGCCCTGGGGTCTCAGGAAGTGGGGATGGTTGTGCTCAAAGCCACAGGTGCCGTGCAGTAGGGTACACACCCTCCCTTCCCTTCCCTGGACGCAGGCCCGGGAGAGGCCACAGGGCCAGCCAGCATGGACCCAGGCCGCAGCTCCCCCCCACGTCCATGCCCGGCCGGCCTCCAAACGCCTCTTTCCCCCGGATTCTCCGTGATAACCTCACTTTCCAGCATGTGAAAGCAGAGTGTGAGGCACGGGGTGGATTTCCTCTGCGTCTGACCTACTGCTTAACACGCCCTCTGTTCCCACCCTCTTCCTGTGCTGGAAAGTCCTGAAGTTCGGGACGTGTGTCTTCCTCTGAACTCGGTGATTGCCTTGGCTGAGCCCCCTGCTAACCCTCAGCCCCGGGGGTGCCCCTGCGCGGCCAGCCCGGCCCTGTGCTGGCGTCTGCGGGGAGGATGCCTAACCCTAACGCACTGCCTTCCACTCCCGGGCTCGCTGGGCAGCACCTCCCAGGGCCACATGCTGGGCCGCGCACACAGATGCCCTCTGCAGGCTCCACGGGCCGTTCTCGGGCAGGTGTGCTGCGGCCCTTATCTGCCCCTCCCTGTGGGAACAGCCCAGGCTGCACTGACTGCAGGCTCGTGGGCGTCTGGGGGCCCCATGCCTCTCACAGGTGCCCAGGGCACACGCCCGAAAGTATGTGGAGCCAGACTCGCCTGGTGCTGCAAAGCCTGAAGGAAAGAACGAGAGCCATGGGCCATGTAGCAGCCCTGTCACTGGGGGGAGGGTTCTGAACTGGGGGGGGCAGGCTTGGTGGCGGCAGATCTGGGGACAGAGACCTGGGGGACACAGACCTGGGGACAGAGACCTGGGGGGCACAGACCTGGGGACAGAGACCTGGGGGGCACAGACCTGGGGGGCACAGACCTGGGGATGGAGACCTGGGGAGGCACAGACCTGGGCATGGGGACCTGTGGGGGTGCAGACATGGGGCACAGGTGGGACCAACTGGCGGCCTGAGAGTCAGCTGGGGGAGCTGCAGCCCTGGGGGGCGGGCAGGTGTGGAAAGCAAGGCTGGCCCGAGCTGCCTGGGGCACTGAGATGCCCATGGGAAGGAAACCAGTGGAGTGGACCTTACACATCAGGATCAGCGTGAAGCAGAGTCCTGGAGAGCGCGTCTGAACTGCTGTCACTCACAGTCCCCCCCCACCCCCCGCCGGGCACTGCGTGTGTGTGTGTGTGTGTGTGTGTGTGTGTGTGTGTGTGGCCTGTGTGCATGGCGGGGAGCGTCTTTCTTGAGCGCCGTGACAGTTTGTAAAGCTGCAATTTCCAACGACCCCTTTCTCTAGGAGGAGCTTATGTCTGGAGAAAGTTAATAGAAATCAGGATCCGGGTGGTTTCACACAGGCCTGGGGACCTCCCTTTGGAAAGTCCCTGTTATTCATCCTGGGGCTGCAGTAGGTTCCCCTGTAGCTCATCCTGTGAACCCCACAGTAGATTCAGCAGGAGGGCAGGGGGCCTGTTTCCCATGCTCCAGGACCCCTATTTGTAGGGCTTCATGCATTGGGGGCAGCTCAGGATGGGGGTGTCTGGGTACCTGGGACTGAAGAGGACTGCTGTGGGTGCCATTTGCTCTGTTCACGCCCCATCCGGTGTGCGGTCTGTGGGCAGCGAGGCCTGGCCTGGCCTTGCAAGGAGCCCAGAAGAGGGACAGCATAGCCCCCAGGACCCACCTCTCTGCCTTGGCTCAGGCTGTCCCTGCATTACACACAAGCGTGAGTTGAGCCTCCAGCCAGCACCAGGACCCACTTCCAGGGCACAGGGGGGCTCCTTGCAGTGGTGGGGGCGGCCCCTGGGTGGTTGCTCCAGCTGGGGGCTGGTGGATGGTACTGGGTCTTTCTGCCGCCTCACCGGGCATCTCTCTGTTTTTTCTGCAGTGAACTTCGACCACTTCCAGATCCTTCGGGCCATCGGAAAGGGCAGCTTCGGCAAGGTAGGGAGGAGCCAGCAAGGAGGCCATGGCAGGACCGTCTCCGCGGCCCACCAGCTCTGGGGAGGCCAGCCCCACCTGTGTCTGTCGGTGGAGGATGTGGACAGGCTGGTGAAGTGGGGGGTCAGAGTGGGCTGTCAGCCTCGCTCAGGAGCACTAGGGTCTTTAGTCCGGGTCGTTGGGGGTCCCTAACTCAGCTGGGAGCTGAGGGTGCAGATGGCACATTTGCTGGGCTTTGTGGGACCAAGACCCTGACACCCCCTCCCTAGAGACACTGACCTGCCCCCCCTGCGGTGGAGCCGCTTTCCTTAGAGACCGGAACCCACTCAAGGCCACAAAGGAAGTGTCTTAGAAGCCCCTGCGGTGGGGGGCGGGGGGGGGTGCGGGCAGTAGATAATCAGTGTCCAGGAGCCTCTGTGACCCTCGGGCCAGGCTACTCTGGCAGGGGTGCGGGTGGCGGGGGCGAGCGTGCCGCGGAGCGTGCGTCCTCGTTCCGGGGCAGCCACGCCGCTCGAGGCCTCTAAGTAGGCCCGCTCGAAACTGTCTCCCTGCTCCTTTCGTTCTCTCGTGTCCACATCTAACTTCCTGATTGCTGCCTTGTAATGTCTCGAGACTGGGGGTAATTATAACTCAAAGAGGCTTAACGAGCACTCGGAAGGTTAAAATTAGCTCTCGGGACTCGGCCATGACGGGTCTGTGGTAGATGGATCACCTCGGAATGGAGAGTTTCTTTGGAGCAGAGAAGGAGTCTTGGCAGATGAGGCCTTGGCCCCCTTCTCCAACAGCTGTCTGGACGCTGTGCCTTAGGTTCCCCCAGGCCTGGGGAAATTATAAACCAGGGCAATTAGCTCCTTCGCAGGAACTCATTCACTCTTTTGTTAAGGAGAGTATTTTTAAGATCTGCTGGTTGGGCTGCCCTCTGCCCAACGGAATGTAAATTCTGTCTGCTAGGGTCACAGCGGGCATGGGGAAGGTCGAGGTGGGGACAGGGTGGGGCTTAGGGTTAGGGTCAGGCCTTGGAGGGCACCAGCCCTAACCAGGTTTCGGGAGGAGTGGCGTGTATGGGGAGACATGGAGGAGGAGCAGTGCCCCCTGCCTCCTCCCGTTCTCATCACCCCCCTCATGCTCCTGCTGCACTGCGGGACAGCACACACACACCCCGCCGCAGTGTCTGCAGAACCCCAGGACTCTGGCTCCTCAGACCAGGTCTTAGCTTTAAAAAGCCAGCTGGTCACAGGGTCCCGGAAACGGAGCTCTGCAGAGTAGTGGGGTGACAGTGAAGTCCGGCTGAGATTTTATCCTCAGAGGCAAGCTGCCTTGTCACGGCTCTCTAATGAGGCCGCCCAAATAGGCCTGCAGGGTCTCTGGGCTGCAGTTGCGGGCGCCCTGTGCTGGATGGGTTTCTGGAATGTGGAGAAACCCAGGGCCTGTCCAGACCTGGGCTCTGCTCCTTCTAGCTGCTCTCGATGGCTAGGGCAGTGACCCCATGAGGAGAAAGGAGGAGGATTTGGAAGCTCGCCACAACCGCAGAAAGCCAGCTCCAAGCCGGTGTGGCTGGGCCCATAAATGCCTGCCTGTGGCCTTATTTGAGATGTGTGTGTGCACAGTCTTGGCCGTGCCCGGCAGCATGGTGAAGCTGGGCTTTATAAGGATGACTGGGTCAGGTGGATGTGAACATCCCGAGTTCACCCATGCCCCCACCTCACGAATGGAGGCGAAGTGTTTGGTGTGTCTGACAGGACCGGTCTCTTCCCAGCAATGGCTGTTTACCATGAGGCTGCTCCATCCTTCGGGGCAATAGCTCACTGACACCCATTCACAAGCTTGCTGTTTCTGGTCCTTGGGTACAAAGACTGCTTATTGGTTTTGGTTTTTTCCAGGTTTTTTATTTATTTATTTATTTACTGTGATAAAATTACATATACGGTTGTAATCATCTGTAAGAGTGCAGGTCGGGGCGTTGCTGTGTAACCTCTACCTCCTTCCGTCTCCAGACTCGCTTGTCTTGTAAAACGGAAACTGCCCGGATTCCTGAGACACCTGTCCCAGGGTGGATGGCTTTGTTTTCCAAGGCAGAGTGGAAGCTGGTGGTGGAAGCCCACCGTCTGAGTGCTGAGAACACAGTCCCCACTGGCTTGCCGTTGGAGGGGCCTTGTCCCCGGGTCTTCTGACCAGGCCAGGAGCCTGTGGGGGGGGGGGGAGGGCGGGGGTCCTCAGTGCAGGAGGCCCCTCCCAGCTCCCCATGACTGCGCTGGGGGCTGGGGGTGGGAGGTGTTGTTGCCGAGGCGCCTGAGTCCAGCAGCGGGCTTCACTAGGTGGGGACAGGTAAGCGGGTGGGACAGGTGCGCGGGTGGGGGCCGGCGGTGAGCGGGTGGGACAGGTGGACGCGGTGACGAGCGTGACAGTCCTTGGCAGGCGCTGTATGCCGGTGCCTGGGGCCTCGGGTCGCTAGTAACACTTGATCCAAGTGAGCCGCAGAGGGTGACAGGCGGATGTGAGCGAACATCTCCGGGAGGGGAAGGGCTGGGGCGCAGGCGCCGCCCCGGGATTCCGCCGGGCCTCTCTCACCTGCCGGGGCGGGCTTCGGCCCCGCACGCTGCCCTCTGATTGGCTGGGTGCGACCACGTACTCCCGCCCCGCACCAACCACGCGGGGTGCTGCACTCTGATTGGTCCGGGCGGGTCATGTGACCAGGACCAGCGGCTGGCGGGTAGGGCGGCGCCCATGGCGGCTGCGAACGTGGAGCCGGGCGGCAGTGTGCTTCCAGGGTCGGGGGTCTGCGGCGCCTTGGGCAGTCACGCCGACCCCAGGGGCCGGGGCCTCGGGTCCGTGCCCCTCTGCAGGGCGGCTGGGTGAGCGCCCTTCTCTGCTCCTCCTGCGGGGCTCTGGGCCCCCGGGCAAGGGGCGGCCCTGCTTCTCCAGCTGCCTTTTGCGGCGCCGGGCGGCGGGCGCGGTGAGAGGCGAGGGCTGGACACACCGCCTTCCCCGGGGGAGCTTGCGGGGTGCGCCCCCGACCGTCCCCGGTCGCCCCCTTCCTGCCCCCTCTCTGTCCCCAGCCGCCCCTTTCCTGCCCCCTCCCCCCTCCCTGTCCCCAGCTGCCCCCTCCGTATCCCCAGCCGCCCCTTCCCTGCCCCCAGCTGCCCCCTCCGTGTCCCCAGCTGCCCCCTCTCTGTCCCTAGCCTCCCTTCCCTGTCCCCGTCCCCTTCCTGCCCCCCTCTGTCCCCGGCTGCCCCCTCCGTGTCCCCCCCCCCCCCCCCCCCCGGCCTCAGCTCTCAGTGCCCTTGTACGACCAGTATTACTAACTAGTGCGTTTACAGCCAGAACAGAGGAAACACTGTTTTGGAGAAGAATTCTTTACCCACCTGGAATTTAACACTGATTCTGCAACCGCCCCTGGGCTGCCGGTCCAGCTGTACTGCTTCCTGCCCTCCAGCGCCCCCCATGCTCTTCCAAGATGCTGGCTCTCCTCATATTTATTTTTCCATTTGAACTTTTAAATAAGTGCTGTCAAGATCAAAATAAACTCATGAAATTTGGGTAGGAATTACATTCAAAGATTAAGGGAAAGTTGATAACTTACCCAACTAGGGATCTAGTACCTTTTTATTCAAATGTTATATTTTCATATCAATCCTTTGCATTCTATTATGTTTATTACCTATTGTTCTTATAGTTATTACATGTTAAGCTGTTGTGCATATTATCTATTTTTGTTATTGTGAATAGGAGATTGTATTTTCTAACTTTCCAGTTTGTTGGAAAATGGTGAGGTCACCCCTCACCCCTGTTCCCGTACGACCCCTGCTGCCCTCTGCATTCCCATGGCCACTGTGGCTGCTGTGGCCCAGGACCTGGGTGGTCACTGGCTGTGGCTGATGCACCCAACTTGGGCGGGGGCAGCGCTGTGGCAGGTGTGGCCCGTGGGTGGGGATCTGGTTTTGCCAACCTGAATGTGCTCCTTGCTGGAAGATACCGTCTCCCGGTGATGCTGTCCATGGGACAGAGTCTGTGTCTCACTTGGGACTGGGATCTGCAGAGCCTCCTCAAGGGGGCACCTGGTCAGGCTGCCCGACCGTCAGGAAGCAAAGGTTGAGGCAATAGAAGGGCATAGCCCTTTAGGAAGCAAAGACCCATCTCCTGCAGGTGGGGTGTCCCCTTGTGAGTCCAGAGTTCCCTGATCTGGGTGCGCTTTTCAGAGATGTGACTGGCTTTTGCACAGTGGACATGATTGGGTGTTTGAGTAGGGATGTCCTGGCCCTTGTCCTGCACTCCAGCCCCTCTCTGCCCTCATGGCCCAGTCTTGATTCGGTTCTGACCTTCCCTGGCCAGGCCTCCTCCTGCCCACTGCCCTGCATGCCCTGTACCCCAGGGCACCCCCTTCCTCTCTTCACCTGCGGAAGAAGGGCTGGGCTGGAGCTCACACGGAGGCTTCTGGGAGTGCCTACTGCTGTCCATTTGTGGGTAGACGGGCCTGGCTACCTTCTGTCCCCTACCCAGCCCAGACCTGTCAGGAGTCCCTGGGTTCCTAGTTAGGGTGCTTGCTGTGAAATCCCGCAGGGATGGAGGCTCTTATCCAGCTGTGAGGCCCGGGGACCCTTTTCCCTTGTCCTAGGTCCGGCTCTCGCAGGGAGCGCCAGCTGAACTGTTATTTGTGGAGGGGAGGAAGTGTTCGGACCAGCATGTCTTGTTTCTCTCCAGTTTATGGGGAAAGAGCTAAGACAGTGGAGGTACAGTGTGCCTTGGTCACAGACCCCAACAACTCTGAGGAACCTCCTGACGCCCCTGTGACCACCAGATCCTCAGGTGGACCCTGGAGATGAGACGAGAGTGGGGAGGTCGGGGCCGGTGCAGGAAGTGCAGTTCTGGGGCTTATGGCCTTGCTTCTTTCCTGGTGGTCCCTGTTTGTGAGGACACCCAGCCATTGCCATGGCAACACCCCAGAGGAGGTAAATAACCAGCCGGCCCAGCGGCCCAGCGCGGTGCTGCAGCATCTCCCGTTAACA